TGGAGCTGCCCAGGGTCAACAGCCACCTCAGAAGCGCGATCCTCAGCGCGGCCGCGGTCGTCTCATTGGCAACATTCTTGAGGGCGTCGGCGGTGCTGTTGGCGGTGCCATCGATCTAGGCACTATCGGCGGAGCTATCCAAGGTCAGCCCCAGAAGCGCGATCCTCAGCGCGGCCACAAGATTGGCAAGGTCTTTGGGGGTATTGGTGATGGCATCGGTGCTGTCGCTGATATCATCTCCGTTGGTGGAATTGGCCAGGGCCAGGAGCAACCACAAGCCTAGGTACACGGCTTCTAGTGGTGAAGCTGGACCCAGAACGGGGCAGAGCCAATCGTGTCGGGTATGTCGCTGAGCGCATCTTCTTACCATAGATTGTTACCTGTTTGTTTTATGCTCTAGACTGAATTATTAGCAATGCAATTGATTCTTACATATATGTGCTTGACAAGTTTGCTATTGTGATGGCCACCAGAGTTCATTATTGAGTTACAGGTAAGTGAGGGAACATGATGTGACTTCTGATTACATTTTCCATCAGTAAAAGCCAGTACATTGGCTTTGGTCTAGAAACTCATGCAGTGGTAAGAGCATTCGTGGTAGTACTCTAGATCAGATGGTTGAGGGATGCCAGTGATGTTCCAAACCCCTGCGAAAATCATCCCCTTATCCCCGTAACTCTCTTGGCATACACGTGACTTACCTTACACTACCCCAGTTTTCCTTTTCCTCTTACTTGTTCGTTTGACAGTCAGGTAAGCTGATGCGCAATCGTCGTGTATCTTTTATGTACCATTGTCAACATGTTCTTTCCTTGTACCCAACATTATTCCTGAACCCTTCTTGACCCAACGTTCACACTGATATTCAAGTACTAGTTTTTTGTGTCATTCCTTTTTATCCATTCACTTTGTTTTTTTTATCAAAATCCCACGACTTAACGAATTTCAAAGCGACAAAGATGTCAGGAAAAATTAAGTGGGCACATGAATTTACTTCGAAAAAGAAGAGAAAATTCCCCAGAATTTCACCTTAATCAGGTTCCCGCAATCTTGCTCGGAACATGCTCATCATAATACAAAGTCTCTCCGCTCTTCCCACCCTCAAATAACCCAAGCGCAAGCTTCGCAACAGCATCTCCACACAGCTCGGGTGGCTCCACCATCTCATCGCCCATATCATCCCAAATCCTAAATCTCTCAATCTCATGATCCGCCATTACTCCCCTGTACTTGCCTTCGACCAGCCCATCAATCATCTTCGTCCGCGTCAACTTTGGATACACACCCTGGACGCTGAGCAGAGGCTCTTCGTGTGCAAGACACGAAATAAAGCGTGTGAGTGCAGCTTTAGTCGTGCTATAAGGCATCCAGCCGTGATACGATACTGTACTATCGCAGGCTGAAGAAAGGACAATGACTTTTCCCCGGCCATAGTTATGTGGATGGGATGCCTTGGAAGCACGGAGATGTGGGAGGACAAGCTGAACCTAATGACTCGTTTTTTTTTTAGCAAATGTGATAAGTAGAGATTGGTTGATGGCAAAGGGAGGGGGCCAGGATGAGACGTACCATACTCATAGCCCCAAAAACATTAACGTCAAAACTCTGCTTTGTAGCCTCAATATCCAACTTTTCCAGTCTTTGGATGGGCGTAATAATGCCCGCGCAGTAGACTAATGTGTCCAGGCCACCAAACACATTGAAGCATGTTCGCACCGCCAACTCACGGTCTTCAGCCACAGTCACATCGCCCTCGACAATGCGCAGTCGCTCCCTTTGCTGCTTGGTAAACTCGAGTTTTATACTCGAGTCGATGAGGCCAAATGCTATTACTTTGGTGTTGAGCGGGAGATATGGGCCCGAAAGTATGGTTTGCGTTATTGCATACCCGATTCCGGAGGTTCCGCCGACGACCAGAACAACTTGAGGCTTGGACGACATGGTTTAACGCGGAAACGTGAAGAGATGCAAGATGGTACTATGTATGTTCTGTTCGGCTGAAAAGATACAATGGACGAACATAAGAGTTCCAATGACGTGATGGCTTGCGAAGATTCGGAGCTTGTGCGTATCGAGATGCCTGGAAGTGGAGTTGAGCCCCGCGCTAGGTGCGGAATAGGTAAAATTCAGAGGGATGGCACCACTGCGCATGGCGTGTTGAAACTTCGAGCATGTCTTGCATTGTGTATGATCTAAACAGCACTCCAAGTCTATAGGTTTGCCTTTGCAGCTGACCCAGAAGTACCCGTGATTCCCTCCTCGATGGCCTTGATCTGCAATGCCAAGATCCTGCTGTAGTAACGAGACAGAGCAAGATTGCCGCCCATGAACCACAAACCGGGGTGCCCACTCTTCTGCCACATGGTCCGGAACTCACCCTCTTCGTTGAAGCCCCAAACATCATTCACACGGTCCGCGACTTCGTCACCAAAAATCTTTCGTGCCTGTGTTCGCATGTTCTGGTACCCGGTTGCGAACACGATCTCGTCAGCTTCCAACTTATGGCCATCGGCAAACTCAATGCCGTTAGGCAGGATTTGGGAGATCTCCTGGCCCTGCTTGATCTTGATCTTACCGTCAATAATCAATTGAGATGCACCGACATCGATGTAATAGCCTCCACCGCGCTGGAAATACTTCATCAGCAAACCTGAGTCCATTGGTCCTTTATCCAGGCCGAAGCCAGCTTTACGAAGACCATCGAGAATCTCCTTATCGGCCTGGGCTGAGAGTGCAGTGACCTTGGTTTGTATCAATTTCATTAATGCACTTGGCAGACTCCAAAAGGTAAGATCGGCATCATCGAGAGGTGGTGAGTCTTGGTCGTAGAGACCCTTGTTTGCGATATCAGTTATAGAAGTGGAGGTGACCACGCATGTTGTACTGCGCTGAACCATAGTCACATCGTAACCCTTTTCGAAGAAGTCTTGTGCGATATCGTGACCAGAGTTGCAGCTTCCTACAACTATCGCCTTCTTGCCCTTTGACTCTGGATTCGCGCCTGGGTGCTCAGAGCTGTGACATAGGCGGTCGCCTTTGAAGCTCTCCATGCCCTTTATCTTGGGAAAGTTTTTCTCGCCGGAATGGCCAGTCGCCTGCACAATATGTCGTGGGTGCAGCGTCCGAGTTTCAGTGCTCCCGTCTGGTTTTCGGCGCTCAATCGTCACCGTCCACTGCTTCTTACCCTCATGCCATGAGGTTGACTTAATAGTTGTGGAAGTCCAAACGTTGAGCTCGAGAAGGGTCACATACGCTTCAAAGAACTCGGCAAGCTTATCCTTAGGTGTGAACACTGGCCAATGCGCAGGAAAAGGCACATATGGTAGGTGGTCATACCATACTGGATCGTGTAACACGAGTTGCCGATAGCGTTTGCGCCAGTTGTCACCCACTCTTTCGTTCTGATCGATCATCAATGCGGGTACACCAAGCATCTTCAGCCGTGCAGCGACAGTAAGTCCACCCTGCCCAGCTCCCAAGATGAGTACTGTAGGGTCAATGCCTTCTCTTTCCGCATCCCGCATCTCTTTCCAGGTCTTCCTGTTAGGGTCACCACCGTGTTTTACACCCTTGGTTCTGCGGTGATTGAGAGGCTCCTCATGTCCCTTGAGCTCCTGCAGCAAAGTAAAGAGTGTAAAAATCCTCCACTGGCCGTTGTCGTCAGCCAGATTCATCACACCTTCGCCACGACCGATGCTCGTCTCAAAAGTCACAAAGAAGTTGACGCCCTTGACTTCACCAAGGAGGTCTATTGCACCAAACTTTGGGGCTCGAAACTCGGAGCTCTTGCTGATTTGGAGTTGTGTCAATTGCACTTTGCTAGAGTCTAGATATGCTTTGATGCCCGAGCTGCCCTTTACTGTTCGGAGCTCCCAAGAAAGGGCCAGATGATCTCTCCAATAGCTATTCTCTTTGCAGAAGAGGTCCGAGACAGCTGCATAGTCATTTTTCGAAATAGCATGGTTGAAGCGGGCGACCACCTCGTCGGCGATCTTAGCAGCATCGATAGGCTGGCTGGCTGACGAGGCTGGAAACACACCAAATGGAAGGTTGACAGACCCAAACTCAGGGCGCTCACTCGAGGGGATGGATGCGTCGCCTACACCCATGACGTCGGTGTGTTTCGTGCGGAGAAGGTTAAAACGAAGGCTGCAAGCTTGATGTGATGAGAATGAGGGGGTTGTGGTGAAGAGACGACACGCAGGCTCATCAAGGTTAAAAGTCAGACGAAGTGTAGTCAGTTGGTAAATTCAATTCGGCATTCCATCTTGGTACAATCCGTAGACGCGTCTAATTTCTGAGTGTAGTGTCGAAAGAGGAATAGGCAGTGTGTAAAGCTAATGGTCGCCAAACCTTCTTTGGAGAGAATGTGCGGGGATGGAGGGGCAGCGGACAGCCTCCGTGGAGACAATGTCTGTCTCACTGCCTTTGGCCCGCCATACCCCGCACCACCCTCCGATCATCGCACACCCCGAGTTGGGACTCTGTCCTGGACCCATCGCTCAGAAGGGACGAAGGGAAAAAGGTACAAAGTTCAAGTCCTTCAAGGCGTCGACTCCGAATGTCCCTGGCGCGGCATCCTGTCGATCACTTGCGTAGCGTTGAGGATCAAACACCACGGCGACGGCAATCTTGGTTTCACGTAAGCAAGCCCCCTGCCCATCGCAAATCATCCAACCCATCACCACCCCACTTATTACGCAGGCTCAGCCAGATTCCAAGTATATAAAAAACTTGATCATTGCCTACTACTGTACAGCAAGGTTAGTCGTGTTGCGGCTCGCCATTTGACCGAGATTTCCAATTTCGGAACGCGAACCAATCCGAGATTGCGCTTCGACCATCCCATGATCCAGGCAGGGAGCCTGGGTTGCAGCCATACGACGCTGGACGACAGTCAGTACGAGGTTGATCGATGTGGCGTATTTTTTTCGGTCAGTGCAATGGTGGCACAGTACGACTAAGTGGGTCTACCTAAGTATACTTACTCAGCAAAAAAGAGTCATGGACATTACGGATTAGTCCGAATGGCTTACCGCCGATACTACTATGTGGTGACGAACCTGTCAGTAGAACTACCAATCTGGGGAAACGTCAAGGATTCTCGGGAGAATTTTCAGACAGGCCTAAGTACGGAACATCATGGATCTGACTCGTCAACGCAAATCCCTGAACTCACCTTCAGCCAGTTGTCAGTAAGCCACACTTATACACCAATACGACCACGCCCCATAGCCATCGTATTCAACTTGTAAAAAAGTACATATCAATAGTTTCATAGAAAAGTGATTAGTTCTGATACCGGCCAATGTTCCTGGGCTAAAATTCAATTCGCTACGCACATCCTGGTCGAGTTCCACTGAGAAACTCACACACTCACGAAATAACACTGAGAAACCTACGTTAGTGTTTGTCAGTACGATGCGTTTATCTCTCGAATTTCCGAAATCCAATACAGTCAACGACAAAGATCAGCCCTACGTGTCCGGGATTTAGAGTGTGGAGCGAAACTTTCTTGCAGAAAAGAGCAAGTCGATCTATTACCACAAGAAGACTGGTGAAGGTAATATGCGTTTGGCTTTTTAATCACATTCTTAAAGAAGAGATACAACTGATAAAGTTCCGAGACTTTAGCCATATCTCTTGAGATATTGTCGAAACAGAAGTAGCAGCATCGCTGACATCTCTCAATGTAACATCAATATCTGTTCTGAATCAGTGACAATTTCCCACCGCAGAACCTGGGATCTATAGCACCAGCGTCCAGAACGACCACAGCAAAAGTTTGAAGCAGAAAATTCGCCACTCTCTTTCAACGACGGCGTGCGTTTTTCTGCTCTTACCATCGAGCTTGCAAACATACAGCTATGAGCAATAAGTTTCACCTCGGTTAGCTCAACCACCCCACCAACACCAATCCAATCAACTTTTTTGAATGCCCACCA